AACCTACAAATTACTTTAGTGATAAAAGACTTATAAGAATATATCTTTCGGCATTAAATGCTGAAGAGCAACCTTTATTGATCCCCTTTAATATTATTATTCCAAGTTATCCAAGGCTATTATTTGTTGTACTACTTCAGTTAGTTTTAATTTGTCCTATGGTGTCGAAAACTGGCTTAAAGTGAAGGATGGTTATTTCGATGAAATTAATTATGCACATGCAAATACTATCAAATGCTCTTTAGTTGCAATGTTACTGCGAGCCAGTAAAAATCTTAAAAATTTAGCACTTGAAAATGCTACTTATAAAACAATATCAGCAGGTGCATTTTCTAGAATATCATACTGTCTTCTTTGAATCTTAGATAATAATTTTGGATCAGAAGAAATAAATTCATTTGCAGATGCACATTGCAAGAATAACACGTTAACATCATTGGATCTTAGTGTAAATAATCTTGGATCAGAGTGAGGAAAAGTATTAGCAGATGCACTTTGCAAAAACATTGCGCTAACTTATTTGAATTTTGACAATAATAATCTTGGGTCAGAAGGAGTAAAAGCATAGCAAATACACTTTGCATGAACATACTCTGACTTCTTTGAATCTTGATAGCAATAATCTTGGATCAGACGCCAGAAAAGCATTAGCGGATGCACTTTGCAAAAATGCTACGCTGAAGAATTTGAATCTTTGTATAGTTCCATGGAGTATTAATTTTAATAAACTTGGACCAGAAGGTGAAACATTAGCAGATACATTTTGCAAGAACATCGCGTTAACTTCATTGGAACTTATCAAATGGATGATTAAGCACTCAGGCTTCAATATTATGTACATGACTGCAACAGATTTCTTCAAAGAAAACACTAAAATTATCAGAATTGAGGGTGAACAGGAATACCCTATAATAAAAGAGGATCCTATTACAGTATCATATAGAGAGTGGAAAAAGATTGTTGAAGAATGTAAAAGGAAGACAGACCTTAAGACTATCATTTTCGTGGACACTTCTACTAACTGTGAATACTTTAAGAAAATAACCCTACGTAAAGCTTAATGTATCTATGGTTCAAATACTGTTATTGATGAAACTACAGATTTATTTTTAGTAAACCACGTGGCAGAGATGGGTGTCACCATTCCTACTGCCGATGAAGTCCTTGTTAACAACATACATTTTGAAATTGATTTAATGAGCCACAAGGATACCGGATCAGCTCAGATGATAAGTATCGTTCGCTCTCAACTAATTCCATAATTACTATCATTGACAGCCAAAATCCTGAAAGGCATATCCGAAGGCGTTTTCAATTTGTGCAAATGTATAAACAAAGGTGTTAATTAGTGATGTGTAGGGTGTCCAGGATTATGCGAAAGCATAATATGCGCATAATTTACCAATTTTTCGCATCGCATATGCTTCGCAT